TCCATGGGAACTGGCTTTGGATCCCACTCTTCTGTCAATTCTGGGCTTCCTGTTAGGTACTTAGCTGCTAACCACTGCCAGACACTGTCTTTTAGCAACCTGCTTGAAGCTCCAAGCAACCCACCAGTCCACTGCTTGTGTCTGTCTGCAGAGGCCATGGCTGTAAGCAGGAGGTGCCATTCTGTCCTCTAAAGTAGGTTTGTTAGCAACATGGAGCCCAGAGCTGGGCCCACAAACTTCCCCTGGTCCCCATGCTCCATCTCTGTCCACCTTTGCCTGTCTTCCAGCTACCAAACTTACTCAAAAGTCTGTTTCTGAAAGGACTTTGGGTTGGGGAGGTGCTGTTTACCATTCAGGGAATAAGAGGTACTTTTTCCTATGTCAGAGCTACTCCTCTGAAAGTGGCCCAAACTATTACTCTGCGCTTGGCTGGACAGAGATTGTATGGAAATCAATGGGGTCAGCTGGGAAATTGGAGTTTTTATCATTCTGATTCTCAAAATAGTAGGGTAGATGGCCCCTCCTCCAATTCAGTCACTGAAGACTATTTAAGACAGTCCAGACCCACAAGCTTGGCTGCTGCCTTTGTTTCCTCTGAAAAGCTCAAAATGCAAGATGTGGAATGCAGGGCTCCTGAAGGTGAGGCAGGATGTATTACCTGCCTTGGGGTTACTGGGAGCAGGGATAGCTCCTCTCAAGAAAAATGGTCATTTTGAAACTGCATGTGAATGGTCAAATGCTGAACTCCTTGCTACTGCTTGTCCACATCTCCCTGTCTTGCTTCCCATCCCAGCCTGTCCTCAAACATTTCATGTCTATGCCTCCCTCCCTGCACCAAAGCCTCAGGTGAGTAGTTGCAAATGAAAATTCCTGTGTTCTGGGTTTAGAGGGGGGAAAAACCAAAAAATAAAACAACAACCAATCCCCTTTCCCCCCGAAACTGCAGCTTTCTTTCTCATCAACTCTGTTCTGCTGACTCCAGACTCCACTGTGGCCAGCAGCCTTTTGCCTTTCACTACTAGATGTTATATGTGCTAGGGTTCTTGGCTGTGGTCCTCTGGGCCGTGGAGGTTGTGAGAGGAGCTCCCTCCTCCCTCAACCTGCTGGTCTCCCAGGTCTGAGAGCTGGGGTGGTTCCTCTCACAATCTAGGCCCTTCTACTGGTTTCCAGGTGTTTTCTGTTATCTTATCTAATAAAAGAGTAATATGCAAATTGATTAACCCTCCAACACACAGATAGCTGCCCCATGTGGTCAAAGATGGCCACCACAAGATGGCCAGCAGGGTGAAGGGGGGGGGGGGGGGGGTTATGGGTGATCATGCCATCAGGGGTGGCAGTTGGGAGGTACTAGGCCTGTGAGGGAGAGCAGTTGTGGACAATCAGGCCTGCAGGGGATGGCAGTTTGGGGTAACCAGGCCTGCAGGGGAGGGCAGTTGGGGGGGAACCAGGCCTGCAGGGGAGAGCAGTTGTGGGGTACCAGGCCTGCAGAGGAGGGAAGTTGGTGGTGACCAGGCCTGCAGGGAAGGTTTATTTTGAGGGGGGAAAGGGAGGGTTGGGCAGGCCTGCAGGAGAGGCATTTGTGAGGAACCAGACAAGCAGGTGAGAGCATTTAGGGTTGACTAGGCTGGCAAGGGAGGGCAGTTGTGGAGGCCTGGGCCTGCATGGGAGGGCAGTATGGACAACCAGGACTGCAGGGGAGGGCAGTTAGGGACAATTGGCCAGTAAGGGAGCAGGTAGGTATCCATTAGGTTAGGAATGGAGTTGTTAGGGGGTGATCAGGCCTGTGAGCAGAAGAGGTTAGGGGCAATCAGGCAAGAAGGCAGGTGAGCAGTTGGGAGCCAGCAGTCCTGGCTTGTGAGAGGGATGTCCAACTGCCCGTTTATATGGGATTGGGCCTAAATGGGCAGTTGGACATCCCTTGAGGGGTCCCAGATTGGAGAGGGTGCAGGCTAGGCTAAAGGTCACTGCCCAACCTGTGCCTGAATTTTGTGCACCGAGCCTCTAGTTTCTTTATGTTGTTACAGAATTTACCAAGCAACCAAAAATACATAGGAGTACCAAAGATACAGGAAAAACTGATTTATTTTCAAATATTCCACATGTACTAGTAGAGTGACTCAGGGGAGACTGTTTCTCACCAAATCCTGAGCCCCCAGTATGGAGGAAGCTCTCCCTTTCTACTCCTTTTTTTTTTTGTCTCCAAAATATGGATGGGCCTTCTAGACCTTTCACAGGCTTTGCAAAAAGCTGCACGTGTTGGGATGGGGGTTGTGAGACCTCACCGAAAGGCCTGGCCTGGTGTCAGCAGTGATAACCCTCTCTGGGGGTTATGTATTGTTCATGGTTTGTGGCCTCTGTAAAATGGGAGTACTTAGGTAACAGGTCTTACAAGACCAAATTATGGAGAAAGGGGGAGTAACTTAATTATATATAGGCTATCAAGGATGTACATTAGGTTACTGGCACAGATTCAAATTGCAACCATCCTCCCCCCCCCAAAAAAAAAAAAAAAAAAAAATAAGCCTCCTCTTTGGCTGGACCTCATTTGGTAATTCCAGGTGAATGTTCTCCAATTTAATTGTATTTCTAGTCTTGCTCTGTGATGAGGTGCAAGGCATGTATGCCTATTTGGCTGCCATTTTCCAACCCCAGAACAGGAATTTAAAATAACTGAAATTAATATGCTAAGAGCTGTAAGGGAGAAGTGGACAGCTTGCAAGAAAAGATAGGTAATGTCCCAATATCCATTTTTGAGAAAAGCTCTCAGCAAAGGGAAAGAGAAAGATCATATCTCAACATAATAAAGGCCATATTTGACAAACCTACAGCCAACATAATAATTAATGGATAAAAACTAAAACCCTAAGAACAGAAATAAGATATCCTCTTTCACCACTCTTATTCAACATAGTACTGGAAGTCTTAACCACAGCGATCAGACAAAAATGAGAAATAAAAGACATCCAAATTGTAAAGGAGAAAATAAAATCTCATTATTTGCAGATGACATCATATTGTACACCCTAAAGATGTCACACAAAAAATACTAGATTTCAAAAAGGAATTCAGCATTGTAGCAGGTTACAAACTTAACACCCAAAAGTCAATGGCATTTTTATATACCAATAATGAATTATCTGAAAGACAACTAAACAAATAATCTCATTGCCAAAGCAACAAAAAAATTAAGATACTTTGCCAGGGTGTTATCCTGCATCTGGAAGCGTTCAGGAACCTGGAGAAGGGACTGTGGTGAATTAATAAAGAGACTAGACATGAAATATAAATTTGGAAAGTATTCTGGGGGGCAGACAGAGGAGACTTAGCTATAGCAACCAAGTTCTCCTTGAATCTCTGTACCGAGGGCTTTTTAGTCACACATTTTGGCCCATAGCAAAGCAGATGTACATATCAAAGGTAAAATATGGTAAACAGTAAGATTATTAGGTTGGGGGAACTGCTTTTGGCTGCTCAGCTGTTTGGCCAGCATCAGGTAATAACAAGTAGATTTTTAGGTTTGGGGAAATGCCCTCAGATGTCTGGCAGCAGGCAATATCATGTATCTTCATCCCTGCTGAAGCCTCAAGATTCACCAACCTTTTGATGAACTTCTTGCATTTACAATCTGCTGGGTTAGCCCTCAGCATATCCCCCTTCTTTGTTTTAATAAATTTAACAAGAATTTATGTCATTTGCAGAGCTTGGGTCCTTTTAAGATTTTTAAATGTAATAATGAAAAGGATAGAGTTCTATCATGTCCCTTTAAATTGCTGCCAGGCATCAAAGGAATCAGTCTGCAGTAAGATCCTTTCTGGGTCAACAGTTTTTTTACTACTCTTTCCAATCATTGTCCAACTTTTTTTCATGGGTACCCTTCCCAATTACTGTCCCCTATGATATGACAACAATGACATTCCAGTTCTAGATGGACAATGCAGGTCTGACATTCTTTGGCTTGTTCTTGGCAACCTGCAGCCATGGCAAGGCATCTTCACATCCTCCATCTCTGGACTGTTTTTCCAATCTTGTCATCTGTGGCTGGAGTAGTCTGGTTAATTTCTTTCTCTGATTCATTGTTGCAGGAATCCACATAGGCTTGGAGGAGTTTTCTGGAAATATATAAGCATATTCTCAACCAAAGGTTAATAAAGGAATCCTTTCTATATACTAGTCGTGGGATTCTTTCATTCTTGCCCAAACTATTTTTCCTTTAGCTTATTCTGACACCAAGTGAAAAAAAGACTTCAAAGTGAAAAACTTAAAGCAATTAAGGTTTGATGTAATTTTTGTACAGGGAGTTATTCCACTACCCTTTTAATTGAAATATTATTAGGAGGCTTTTGGAAATCTTTCAATGCAGTCTTAATAGCTTTTAGTTTTAATTTTCTGCAGAAAAATATGACTGCTTTGTTTTTCTTATATTGTAAGCAGCTTTACTACAAGATAAGCCACTAGAAAGAAATTAGTTAATGTTTCAGGAACAGGTTCCTGCCTAGTTCAACTAAGTTTCCCTGAATATTCACTTATTTTAATTTGCCAACTTAAGTTAGTCTAAAATAAGGCTTATTTTTAAATTTTACCCATTTTTCGCTGTGACCAATAAATAATACTAATTTCTCCTATCAGTCTTTGAGTATTTTCACATAAGCTTTGTTTAGGAAGGCAAAAACACAAGTTATTTATTTTTCTTTTTGAGGCCTAATATATTTATTTTTAATTACAATTTTTCAGACATTTGAAGGAAACCTCTCTTTTTTTCTTTTCAGAGTAATTTCTAGTTCAGCTTTAAAGTATCTTTTTTTTGTTCAACTTTTTAATAATATTTTATTAAATATGAAAAGGTAATTGTGTAATAGTTACCAGGAAAGTTGCATATCAAAGTATGTAGGCAGCAGATACCAAAGAAATCCTATATGATTTACAGTTATTCAAGCAAACACAAAACTCCAGTTCAGATTTTATAAGCTATCAAGAAGGTAAAGACAAAAGGCCCTTCTATCTCAAATTAACCAGGTTTTGAGTGGCAGCTTTTCAACATAATAAAATAGACATTAAAAACACAAACTACATTTTCTTATTCTAAAACATTTTTAGTCCATATGTACTTTGAATAATCTTGTTGTATTAAATTTTGCTACAACTTTCAATGTTCAAAGTAAATCTATCCTAGTTCAGTGCTTTAAGAAGTCAATGGAAGCAGTAGTAGAAGCATAATATAGTTGTTCCACTGCTATTTCCAGAATCTGTAAAATCCCAATGCTATTGCCAGGCAAGTGAACACTGAGGCTGCAAGATAACGAATTGTCTCAAGCTTGTTAGATTCCATTAGTGTTTTTAAAGAAGCAATTTCAGTGTCAATTTTATTACTGGTTTCTGAAATAATACTATTGGTTATGGTATCCTTTTTGGTAAATTCTGTGGTTGCTTCCATAAGTTTCTTTTCTTGATCTGTAAACATATCTGTTACTCTGCTCCTTTCTAGGTTGATATCCAGTTTATTATCTGCTCTGATTCGACTGGTTTCATTTATTAATTGTTGCTTAACTTGTTCTAATTCACTCTTCATTTTCTCATTGTCTGCTCTCAGATTTGCAAATTCACTTTTCTCTAGGATGACCATGTCTTTCCTGATAGAGTCCAAATGGGCCATTAGCTGTTGTACTGTTATTTCCTGCTGAGCTTGCGTGACCATCTCCTTATAGATAGTGTCCAAGCTGACATTTGATAAAGTGGTAAATGCTGATACAATTGTTTCTGCTTGTGCTTTGTCAAATCCATGAGTTTCCAAGTCCTGAACCAATGCATGGGTATCAAAAGTTAATTTCCTTTGTTCTAAAGGAGTTAAGTACACTCGCCTTATATCATGTGATTCTTTGGTTGTGGTGGTGAAGAAGTCGCCCTAAGGAAGCGGGATCTTGTCTTTGAACCTTCTGGCGCCCGCTTCCTGGCAATGAGGTACAGTTCAACAGCAGAATAATCCTGGAGAACTAGCAGCCATTGCGCCTGTGTCTCTCTGGGAGATGGAGGCACATTTCTAAAGTATCTTTTGAAAACATTTTTCTTTCTTTTACATCAAGCAACCTACATGGCTGCTTCACAGATGCTGTCTGATGTGGCCGTATACTTATATTTAAGTGACTTTCTTAGTTTTGGTGGCTACTATTGATTAGATGTAAAGCTTGAATAATAACCTTCAGGTTATCATGTAAATACTAGTGGAAGAGATTCCAAAAATTTAAAAGAAAAAATTTCCTTTTTTATTAATCTTAAAATCTAAATTTAAACAGCATTCTTTTTCATCATTTTGCATATACAGAGGGATCATGGGAAGTCCCAGTAACTTTCAGAGGACTGGTGGCCTGCAAATTTTTACTTTGGCTTTTGTTAAATCTAATTGCTTATAAAAATATTTGCTTCTCATATAACTGAATATATATGAGACCTTGATTATATTTTGTAAAGCTAATTTGTTAAGTAATTAAAGGTAGGTATCTTTATAGAAAAAGTAAAGCAAGCAATTTTATATGGCTGATCAATGAGACACAAATGCTGCCTCACCCCCAGCCTATTTGAAGTGCAGAATGCTAGGGCTTTTGTTTTTTAACATTTGTTGCTTTTTAAAAAAATATATTTTATTGATTTTTTTACAGCGTGGAAGAAAGAGGGATAGAGAGTTAGAAATATCGATGAGAGAGAAACATTGACCAGCTGCCTCCTGCATACCCCCTATTGGGGATGTGCCCACAACCAATGTACATGCCCTTGACCTGAATCGAACCTGGGACCTTTCAGTCTGCAGACTGACACTCTATCCACTGAGCCAAACCTGTTTTGCCTTTTTTTTTTTTTTTTTTTTTTTTTTTTTTTTTTTAAATTCTGCTGCTAAAGAAATCTGGTTCTGCAACTTTGCCTTTTTTTCAGATGTTCAAAGTTTATAACATTTAAATATATGTGTATAAATAAAATATATTTATGAATTTTAATTTGATAAAGATTTCCATGTGATTTAAAGTATATTAGATCAGCCTAATTAAAAAATATTTCTTTTAAGAAGAGAGAATAAATTCTTTGAATCACTCCAGGGCCCATGAAATGTTTCAAAAGCTATACCTTGGTTACTGGGGGAGATAAGAGATCAACCGAAGGACTTGTATACATGCATATAAGTACAACTAATGGACACAAAACTCTGGGGAGGGAGGGTATGTGGCGGGGGGGCAATGTTAAAATATCTACACAGATAATAATTTAATAAATAAAAAAAAATTTTTAAAAAAAAGCTATACCTTGGTTAAAGCCTTGACATTTAACTTGGAAACATCATCAAATATATACATCCCAAAGATTGTATTATATACTTTTTATAATTAGTCTAAAAGATATCAATTAAGTTTAAACTGGTTTTTATATTAAATTTTTGTTGAGACCATAGAATTAATTAGACACTATAAAATACTAGCTGCCCAGTGCATGAATTTTGTGCATGGGAGGTGTGTCTCTCAGCCCAGCCAGCACCTCTCCAATCTGGGGCATCCCTTGCACAATCCCAACAGCTTGCCTGCCTGCCTGATTGCCCCTAACCACTTCTGCCTGCCAGTCTGATCACCCCCTAACCACTCCCCTAACAGTGTGATTGATGCCTAACTGCTCCCCTGACAGCATGATTGCCCTTAAGCATCCTCCCCTGTAGGTCTTGCCACTCCTAACTACCCTCCCCTGCAGGCCTGGTCCCCCCAACTGCTCTCCCTTACAGGTCTGCGTCCCCCCAACTTCCCTTCCCTGTAGGAAAAGACTGGCAGAGCAGGAAAATTGAGGGTCACCCTCAATTTTCCTGCTCTGCCAGTCTGGTCACCCCTAATTGCCATCCCCTGCAGAATTGATTGCTCCCAATCTCCCTCTCTTGCAGGCCTGGTCCCTTCCAGCTACCCTCCCCTGCTGGCCATCTTGTGGCAGCTATCTTGTGTTCATATGGGTGCAGCCATCTTGTATGCTGGAGTGACAGTCAATTTGCATATTACTCTTTTATTAGATAGAATTATATCTGAGGTTAAAATTTTACCATACGTACTACAATATATTTTGAATTACTAATTTCTCTAGTAAATACAAGAATTTTTTTCTCAAAAAGAAATTTCTATTCTTTATGCATTTTGTTATCACAACTATATGATTTCTCCTGATTTAATTTGATCTTTAAATTCTTAGAAGCCTTAAATTTTAGGTGGTAAGTTAATTGCTTAGTATTTCTCAAATTAATAATTTTACATTAAAAAAAATACAAGACATATTTAATTAATAGATTCAATTCTATTCTCTAGATTATTCATGCAAGACAAATTCAGATTAATATTTCAGTATTTTGTCATTTCAAAATATTCAGATATTGAACAAGTTTTATTATTTAATTCAGTAAACTCCAAAGTTTTACATTGCAAAAGGTTCTGGCACGTAAAAAGCATGTACTGGCTGGTGAAATAGGTTTGGCCTAGCCTGGTATATTTAAATGTGTAATAGCCATATTCTTTCTGCTAGGGGAAGGGAAACTAGCTCCTTTATCAAAGAGGGAAGCCAGTTTCCACCCCCAAGTGACTTAGACCTTTATAATTAATACTAGAGCCCAGGTGCATGAAAATTTATGCACTTGTGTGGCAGGAGTTGATCTCTTAGCCCAGCTTGCACCCTCTCACAATCTGGGACCCCTTGGGGAATGTCTGACTTATGGCTTAGGCCCACTCCTAGGGGGAAGTGGCCTAAGCCATCAGTCAGACATCATTAGCACTGCCATGTAGGCGGGAGAGGCTCCCACCAGCGCCGCTGTGCTGGCCAGCCATGAGCCAGCTTCTGGCTAAGCGGTGCTACTCTTGTGGAAGGACACTAACCACCAGAGGACAGTGCCTGCATTATGTATCTGCCCTCTGATGGTCAGCACGCATTAAAAGCAAACAATTGTTCCTTTGTTCCACCCTTAGGGTCAATTTGCATGTTACCCTTTTATGAAATAGGATATTATGTATCTACTAGGAGCCCGGTGCACAAAATTCATGTATAGGAGAAGGCGGTGTGCCCTGCAGCCCAACCTGCTCCCTCTCCAATCCGGGACCCTTTGAGCAGCCAGACATCTCTCTCACAATCTGTGACTGCTGGCTCCCAACCACTCGCCTGCTTGCCTGCCAGTCAGCCTGATCATCCCTTATCACCCCCTGCCAGCCTGATTGATGCCTAACTGTTCCCCTGCCAACCCCAATGCCCTCAACTGCCCTCCCCTGCATGCCTTGTCCCCCCTACCTTTCTAGACAGGTCACCCCGAACTGCCATTCCCTGCTGGCTTGATCATCACCAACTGCCCTCCCTTTCAGGCCTGGTCACCCCTAACTGCCCTCCCCTACTTGCCTGATGGCCCACAACTGCCTTCCTCTGATGACCATCTTGTGGTGGGCATCTTGTGTCCACATGGGGGAAGCCATCTTTGACCACATAGGATAATATGCAAATTGACATCACTCCAAACAACTTGTTGTTTGGAGTGATGTCAATTTGCATATTACCCCTTTATTATATAGGATATTTTGACAATTTTTGAGGTTTTAAAGTTAATTATTACTATCTAAGGCCTTTACTTTGGCAAATTCTGTAACAAAGATAATTTATTGACTTTTTGGCAGTCTTTATGTTAACTTTGGAATAAAGTCTAATATTATTCAAAACTGCCCTCTATTATGAAAACACCAATCTTGTTGCTTAGAACCAGTCTGTATCTTTCTTTTGTGTCATATCTGCTATCTTTATTTTGCAGTAAAAATAGCTTTCGATTTTATTCTGTAATGTCCATAAAGAGAGTTAAGTTTAGCTCAAAACCACCTAAAATCCAAAATCAGACAGTGTGCACATTCTTCTTAAGTCAGCTTTCTCTCTCTATGAGTACAGAAATCCCAGACACATTCCTGAATTTTGTAAAACTTTTAAATTATGAACCAGGAAAAAAATGGTGAATATGAGACTTTTTAAATAGCATTTTTCGGGAGTGGGCATCCATCTTACAGGGTCACCATGGGTCTCCCTTCCCCCACATTCTGTTTGTTTTGGTAAAGTTTAGCAACCTGGCCAAATTCTTTTCTTATTAAATTGAAGGCATGTTTAATAGGTAACAATAAACATATAAAATGAAATAAAATGTAAGATTCTGATTTTTTTCCTATTCCACTCTTCATGGCATTGACTAGCTTTTAAAGTAATTTTTGCTAAGATCTGCCTGTCCTAAGGTGTCCTATGGTGATTTTTAAACAAAGCATTAGAGTCTCCCTGTGAGAGAGTTGATAGCTCCACCCTCTGTAACTGCTCTATACACCAGAAGCAGAGGATCTAGCAAGGCTTTCTTCTTATTATGGACCTTTTATCCCCGATACAAATTAGGCATAATACAGTTTGAATCCACATGGTTAAAAATGATAACAGCATTTTTTTTCTCTTGAGCCTGATTTTATTTTTTAAATATATTTTATTGATTTTTCACAGAGAGGAAGGGAGAGAGATAGAGAACTAGAAACGTCGATGAGAGAGAAACATCGACCAGCCGCCTCTTGCACACCCCCTACTGGGGATGTGCCCGCAACCCAGGCACATGCCCCCAACCAGAATCGAACCTGGGACCTTTCAGTCCGCAGACTGACGCTCTACCACTGAGCCAAACCGGTTTCGGCTTGAGACTGATTTTAGAATATATCTTTTTGTTAGGTCGAGTTAGGAGGGGAAGCCCAGAGACAATACAAGCATCTGCAAGGTGGATGGTGACAAAGATAGCTTTCTAGCTAACACCTTTCTAGGGCCTTCTGAGACCCCTGGCCCAAGCAGAAATTCCACACCTCTCAAGCCCTCCACCCTCTGCTCACTAAACAGCTGTATAAAAGGAGTACCTATGCTGCTTTTTGGTGTGAACTTCCCTGGCCCACCCTCGGACCAGTGAGCTTCTCCCGGGAGTGCAGATAAAAATCTTTCCCCCTTTTTAATAGCCTGGATTCCATGTCTTGCTTCTGTGTCACAAACCTCTCAGCTGGAACCTTACACTTTTGACATTCTAATTTCTTTATCCTTGAGCATATAAGCTAAAAATTTACAATTATATTTTTGCCGTTGAATCAAATTCTTCCTCATTATAGTCTGGCTTAAAACATAAGACTTTTCTTGTCCACCTTGATTCATGACCTCCAAGGTTTGGTGCAAGCTTTACATGCAGTGAATCTCCCCACCATATTCACCAGTTGACCCACCTTTTACCAGTGATTAATATCTTTTCTTTGCTCAGGTAAAACTTCTTCTACAAACATCTTTGTCTTGGGCATCATTAATGCTAGGATGCTATCCTGCACTTGGAAGGGTTTAGGAATCTGGAGAAGGGGGTGTGGTGAATTAATAAAGAGACTAGGCATGAAATATAAATTTGGAAAGTATTCTGGGGGGCAGAAAGAGGAGACTTGGCTATGATAACCAAGTTCTTTCTGAATCTCTGTACCCAGGGCTTTTTAGTCACACATTTTGGCCCATAGCAAAGCAGATGTACATATCAAAGGTAAAGTTTGGTAAACAGTAAGATTATTAGGTTGGGGGAACTGCCTTTGGCTGTTCATTTGTTTGGCCAGCATTAGGTAATAACAAGTAGATTTTTAGGTTTGGGGAAATGCGCTCAGCTGTCTGGCAGCAGGCAATATTAGGTATCTTATCCCTGCTGAAGCCTCAAGATTCACCAACCTTTTGATGAACTTCTTGCATTTATGACCTGCTGAAATTAGCCCCCAGCAATACTTAGCAATAAACTTAACCAAGGAAGTAAAACTAAGGATAACTTAAAGGACTTTTGACAATAGGAAGTGTAGCAACACCCATTAAGTGCCTGCTTGGTATTTCTCCTTCTAATGGATTTTATGGATCCAGCTGTGGATCAAGACAAATTAATCCTGCATCTTCTTTATTTTGTATCTTGAACAAGTGATTGATGTGTCACAGAGTGAGAGTAGATAGGAAAGGATTCGAGCACAAACCACTGACCAGAGTGAGGGGTGGACATGCTGGATGACACAAAGGGCCCCAAATAGCTTCCAACTTATTAATCCTGTTGGGTGTGTATGCAAAGAGGAGAAAGGAGAGACAAGAAAAAGAACAATCACTAATGTTTAATGTTTTTTAAAAATATATTTTTATAGATTTCAGAGAGGATTGGAGGGGGAGAGAGAGATAGAAACATAAATGATGAGAGATCATCATCAATCAGCTGCCTCCTACATGCTGCTACTGGTTAATGAGCCCCAAATCAAGGCATGTTCTCTAATTGGGAATCAAACCATGACCTTTCTGGTTAACAGATCAATGATCAAACACTGAATCTCACAGGCCAGACATGTTTGATATATTTTGTTGCTACAATTGAATAATTACAAAAAAAATAAATTATATGCACAGCTCAATGCACTATGACAAAACTAATACACTTGTATAACCACAGATGAAAAGAAATGTCACATTATCTGTACTCTGGAAGCCATTCCCACTGTTAAAAATAGACCCAGAATTTGTACTGATCAGGTATAGTAGGACATTTGATATGGAAATAGTTGTCACAAAGGAAGAATGTATATTCACAGATCCCTGAAATTGGGAAGCACTCACCACCACAGCACAATGGACCTGGGAAGCACCCAGTCTACAAGGAGGCATGCAGGAGTGAAAGCAAAGCCTTCTGGAATTCTCACAAGACGAAATGGGCAGGGCAGGACAGGTACACCAGGTTTAAATTAGACAGTATAAATAATTTGGGGGCTGTGAGCTGGCTACAAAGGCGGTCTCTAGCGGTTTTGTAGGGGTAGTTTAGAGAAGGGGGACTATTTATTTGGTCTGTAAAAGTTTGATAAAGAAGATATTTGAGTGTGTGGTCACTGAATTTATATCAAAGTTATACTCGCAGGGACATCAGGGGGCCATTTGCTATCTCTAGGAATTAGCGCTGGTAGAAGTTCTCTCTACCATTATTGAAGCCTCAACTAGCAGAGCACGAAGAACACAGAAAGTACAGTCGGTACAATCCCCATTGCTCTCCGAAAAGAACTCTCTCCTGACTTCACACCATATGGGTTAGTTCTACCTGCTTTTGAACTATCTATAACCAAAACACATAGCTTTTTGTGGCTATTCTTTCATTAAAAAGTGCAGCTGTGTGATGCAGCCATGGTCCTGTGCATTGCTGTAGTTTGCTCATTTTTATTACTGTAAATTATTCTGTTATATTTACTAGACTCGTGGACTGCAAACTGAAGCTTGTGAGCCACATGTGGCTCTTTAGCCTCTTGAGTGTGGCTCTTCCACAAAAACACCATGGCTTGGGTGAATCTATTTTGAAGAAGTGGTGTTAGAAGTTAAAAAAAATTGGTTCTCAAAAGAAATTTTATCATTGTACTTTTGACATTTGGTTTTGTTGACTGAGATTGCTGACCACTGAGCTAGACTGTTCTGCTGGTGGGCATTTAAGTGGTTTCCAAATGCGGGTCTAATACAAAGCATGTGGCTATGAATATTCTTGTACACATCTAAAGGTTCAAGCAAGGTCAGACACATTTCACTCTGGGGGAAATTCCTGGATGGGAGCTCAGGCAAGCATGTGCTCATTTGGCAGATATACTCTACCTTCCTGAGGGTGTAAGTATTTCTGAGTTTTGATTGTGGCCATTTCTATTTTAAGTTTACAGGAACACTCCAATGTTATTTGACAGAACAGTTACTTTGCCTCAATCTAGATAGTAAATGTGTTGATAGACGGACGTATAGTGATTAGTTTTGTCTGAATCTTATATACAGTATATATATTGACTTAGGAAATGGCTTTGTTTTATTTTACCAAAATATAACATGTCAGGAGAAAAAATAAAATTCAGAAAACTTTTTTCTTCAATTAACGTGTCTCTCGTTTTAATATAACAACATCTCAGTGCAGCCTCTATCTCTTGACTTTCTCACGTTGACCTCTCTGTAGAAGCCAGTGTGGTGCTCTGGTTCTGTGAGAAATGGTGGAGAGCTTACCAGATTTGATCAAACCACTTGAATTTAGCAATAAGTGGCTTTCAATAAGTATTGGTTTCTTTATTTAATAAGATGTAAATCATTCTAAATCTTCATTATTAAACTCTTTTTGCTTAAAAGAAAATCTATTGAGATATTTTATCACTCATTATTGGACTTTACTTGACCCTTCTCATGATAAACAATTTCTTAGAGTAAAAAAACAAACAAACAAAAATCTACAATCCCTTTCACACTATTTTGTCCATACTAAAACACACACACAGACAAAATAAGATTTTTTCGTTGTTGCTATTTCATGTTGAGATATGTAAGAAAAAGGGGCAATTTTCATGAATGCAGAATTATTTCAGACCCTCAACCACTACAAAGTTTGGTGAATTACATTCCCAGACATTTAAGTGGGAAACAAACAAATGACCCACAGAAATAGTGGTGTAGCCATCACTGTGAGGAGAATACTGGGGCTACAATCATGTTGGTTCCTAAAGATAGTGACACCAAGGTTGTTGGTTGGAACTGGGGACCCTGAGAAAGAAGGTACCTACCAAGAAGGACTCCTGAAGAGTAAATGGACTCAAATGTATAAGACAGACCCTTGCAGCCATTTCTATGGGAGAAGCGGGCTCAGCAGGAGGGCACTTCAAGGAGAAGACTGCACTGCACTGCTTGCCTGCACTGTGCTCTGCATCTGAGCCAGCCCTTAGAAAGGGGTCCCTAGAATATACTTCAATCTTTAAGACTGAGGCTTTCCCCATTCATTTGGAAATGTGCACCTATTTTCTTAACAGAATTTTCACTAACCAATCAGAGCAGCTTCATTCTGACCAATCAGGGCAGTGCTTTTTGGACAACCAAACTTTGAGGACTTGGAGTCTTGTCTTGCATGAGGATGGACCAATCAGAGACCAGGGTTGGGGACTTCTCTCCATTTAAGCCAGCTTCTTTCTGGCTCTGGGAGCACACTTTCTATTTCCACTCAAGATTGTTTCCTGGAGAAACAGGAAGAGGGAGATGGAATGGAGCAGGTGGAGCTGACCAGAGCAGAGCAGAGCTTGCTGGTCAGAGAGGGCCACCTTGCCACCTGCTGCTTCATTCTAGTAACTGGGCTGCATCACAATTGAACTGTTTGCACTGAATAAAGTTTCCTTCTTCACTGCACCCTAAATTGGGGGTTCCTGGTGGCATTGAACTGGCACCAATGACCAAAAGCTGACAGGACTGTTTTATCTTATACTGGAGGTTCCTCCCCTTCTCACAAAACAAAAACAAAAGCACAGAAAAACAAAACCAATTCGGAGTACACAGATGAGATTCAGAGGAGCTAGTTTGCCCTCTAAGAGGTGATACATTATGTCCTCTCAGTGATTCACACTTAGGCAAGCATTAGGGCATCAGTTGCCAGAGATCTGAGTTCCCTAGACTCAAAAAGGTGTCATTTCCTGAAGAGTTCACCCTGATCTAGGCTTCTACTGGCACTGCCCAGGCTCCTGCTGTGTCATCCTGCTGCCCCACCCTGCTCCTTCCCAGCACCCTGCCCCCCAGAGCCACCTTTCTCCTCTTCCTGCAGGCCCAGAGCTGACTCACTTCAGGGAAAGCTTGCCCTGTGAGCATTGTCAGCTCCCAGGCTCCTCCCAGGCTTCTACTGGCATCAGTGCCCGCCCTGCTGCCCCACCCAGCTCCCTCTGCGGCTCCGCCCCATGACCCCGCCCCCCTGCACCACCCTGCTGCCTCTTCCTCTACTGTCCCCTAACCCCACCCCTTCCTCCACCTGCGGGCCCAGAGCTGCACCCTCCCTCCTCAGGGACTATATAAGGGCTCTGCTTGCAGCTGCCTGCATTTGTGAGATTTCAGTCCCTCCCAAGCAGCCAGCAGCGGGTGAGGTCGGGCACCAGGCCCATTAGGGAAGTGGGACTGAGTGGGTGGGGACTGCCCAGGGCTGGGACCTGCCAGCTGCCTACCCCTCTCTCAGCCCTGGCCTTAGGTGCCCTGGGTACCCACAGCCCCTGCCCTTTCCCTGGGATTGCTGCCTGCACTGCTCATCTGAGTGGGAGGGGACACCCCACACCCAACCTTCTAATCACAGGCGCCAGGGCTGGCTGGCCTGTGATAGACGCCACCTTGTGGCTGGAAGCCAGAGCCAAGCCTGAGATCATAATATTTTTATTTCTTTCTCAGCTCCCTGCCTCCCTGAGCAGTTTGTGACAATTTTTAGGCAGCCCTGGAGGCATAGCTTTTCATTGCTGTGAAATAGGGAGGGAGGCAGGGAGGAAGGAAAGGAGAAAGGGAGGAAGGGAGGAAACAAGGGGAGGCCAAATGATCCAAGAGGTTTTTTTCCAATAACAACGGTAATAACTCAATGTATTACTTACAGGGAAGCAGCCAGCACAGCTATCCTTCCTTGCCCATCTCTGTGGAAACAAGCTCGGAGAGAAGTCAGGATTGGTAAGCAGACTTCCGGGCTGAGGAGGAAGGCCAGTCACCACGCCTGAGGGTGTCAGAGAGGATGCTTGTCCCCTGCTCTTGGGGGGCTGCACCCCGACCTTAAGGCCTGTGCTGGGTTTTCAATCTCTCACTTCCTATACCAGCCTCCAGCCTTGGGACACTTCACCTTTCTAAACATTAGCAAATGAATCTTGAAAGTGAAGAAAATTGATCACTTTGCTGAAATTTGCTTTAATGCAGTGTGGGTAGCTATGGTTTTCCAGTAGAAAATTATCATTTCTGGTAAAGGGTGGGACATGTATGTGCTCCTTGCTGAGGAGGAAAGGCCCAGTCCTGCTGCTGAGTCTGCACATCAGAGCCTCTAGGACCCTGGGCCCTGTGCCTGGTCTCTGCTGGATCCTTGTCCGGTTCCCACCTGTGAGCTCATGAGTCAGTGCTCTTGGCCTCCTGAGAAAAGAAAAGGAAGTACAAGTTTCCGGGGGTTTCAGGGCGAGGACGACCTGGAGACCTGTCATTGCCTAATGAGCTGGGGTGCTAGGCCTCTGTCCTGTGTTGCAGCCTCACCATGGAGCAGCTGAGCTTGGCCAACACCCGGTTCGCACTGGACCTCTTCCGCACCCTGAAGGACAGCGACCCCTCTGGGAACATCTTCTTCTCCCCCATGAGCATTTCCTCAGCGCTGGCCATGGTCTTTCTGGGGAGCAGAGGCACTACCGCCGCACAGATGTCCAAGGTCAGCAGAAACCAACACAAGCTGCCTGGCTTCCCTGCCAGTCCCTGCTAAGAAGGCGTGCCTTTGAGCTCCTACAGGGAGTTTTAAACACTGTGCTTGTGTGTTCCACAGCTACACAGGACCAGGCCAGACTTCCAGAAAAGCCCCAAGAACAGTTCATTTAGATGCAGGCTTTCACTCATGATTGAGCTTTTACTGAGCACATACTGTGTGCCAGGCACTGTGTTTGTTTGGCTGAGGACACAGCGGTGAAGAAACCTGCCAAAGCCGGTGCAGTGCTGCTTCTGGTGCCGTGGGCACATCTTTGAAGGCAGCTCCTCTCCATTCAGACTTTTCATTTCCTGCTTTGCATGCAGCCCGCTCCTCATTAATAAACACCTGCTATTAATGTTACTTTTCAACATGAAATAGCACAGGGAACGCACCAAGGGAAGATGTTGGCGGTGTTGCCTTTTTGAGGGAACAGGCCACCGTGGGGTTCTATACTGCTGAGGCCTAGCCCGTGCCTGGCACAAGGGCCGGTGTGGGTGGGAGGGAGTGAAGGAGAGGAAAGAAGGGAGGTATGGCCGCTGCAGGGACTAGGCGAGGCCCTGGGTGGGAGGCAGGTCCCTGTCACAGCGAGAAGAAGCAGTACTGCCTGGCCTTCCACCTGCCTTCCTGGGTGTGGGGCGCACACTGTGCTGTGTGGTCTTTGGTGAATTCTGAGAGGGGAACTCCAGCTCCTTGAAGTAGGGAAGATTACAAGGTGCCAGTAACTGGGGGAGGTCCAGCCTTGGATTCAAGTGTATCCATCTGTTCCAGCTCCAAATCTCTTATTTCTCCATTTTATGAAAAACCAATGGTCATTACCACTGCAGACATGAAAGCATTTTTATATTTTCCAAAACCCACTTTTTAGTTTACCTCCTGGTAATAATGGTTAGTTGCTTCTTGCAGGGTAATGTCAGCTTCTATTTTGAGGTTTATTCAGGGACTGTACTAGCTCAGCAAAAAATAGTTTTAAGGGTTCCCCTGCTTTTCCATTAAAGCAGAATATCTTAGCAACTGTGCAAACATTCCATATCTTGGTGAGTAACTGGACTTTGTACATTGTGTAGGTTTATTCTTTGTGTGTAAAATAATAGCCAGCCCAGGACTCAAAACCATAAAGGGTTTTTGATTTGTAACATGAAAATTAAACTTTTGCTGAGTGTTAAGTTTATAGATGTTATTTTTAAGTTACTTATGCTGATAGTGTAGTTTAAAAATCCCCTCAATTCTGTAATATCTTTGTGCTTCCACATAGGGGATGATTCTTCTTTTTTTTTTTAAATATATATTTTATTTTTTACAGAGAAGAAGGGAGAGGGATAGAGAGTTAGAAACATCGATGAGAGAGAAACATCGACCAGCTGCCTCCTGCACATCCCCTACCGGGAATATGCCCACAACCAATGTACATGCCCTTGACTGGAATTGAACCTGGGACCTTTCAGTCCACAGACCGACACTCTATCCACTGAGCCAAACCGGTTTTGGCAATGATTCTTAATTTTACTGTTTATTTCTGAGAACTTTCAGTAAAACTCTCTTTGATGCAGAATTTATATGTGAATATGCCAGTTATGACTTTCTTTGGAGAAAAAGCAAATATAGGTAAATATTTAGTCTATTAACCACGTAGATTCATGGATCTATAATTATAAAAACAGTGATATAAAAAGACCTTCTAATGTGATTATGTCTCACAAAGCTATACATTTTAGATTCTCCATTCTTTTGTTCTCCAATGAAATTTTAATAAAGTATTGGGCTGGGATTATTGATATTAGTAATATAAGCATTAATTTTATTTGATAGAAGCAAATGTCAAGGAATCCATTTCAAAATAAATGGCTGCAGAAAGAATGTTTTCTCTGTTTTAGACTCTTCACTTCAATGCGGTGAAGGAGATTCATTCCAGTTTCCAGAGTCTGAATGCTGACATCAACAAGCGCGGAGCTCCCTATCTTCTGAAACTTGCCAATAGGTTATATGGAGAGAAAACCTATGAGTTCCTCCCTGTGAGCACTTTGCTTTCACTTTTCTAAAACTCACGAAACAGTGCATATATTTTCCAGCACAATCAAGTCACAGACGTCAGTTTTTATTTTTATAAACATTCAGAAAAAGATACAGAATTTAAACATATGGCAGAATCTCTATTAATGATTCAATTACATTTGATAGTCATCACAGGAAAAGATTGACCCTGGCTGTTTTACTAAAACAAGAGTGAATTCTGTAATTCATTTTCCGGAACAATCAGTATATAGTAATTTATGAAAATGTTATACAAAGGTTAGAAAAGAATTGGAAAATTTTATGCAATACCAAAACTACTGAACTGTACACTTAAAATGATCAAGCTGGTAAACTTAATGTTATTTGTTTTTTACTATGATGCAAACAGTATAAGGGTTAGAATTTTTTTTGTTACAATGAAGTTTTTGTCTTTTAGGACAATTTCTATTGCTTTTAAGGATTTTATAAAACCATTTCTGTATGTAGCAGAAGTTATTTGTGGAAGGTGGAGGGTGTTGTTCTTTCTTTTTTAAAAATATTTTTTACTTAAATAGGAGTTCTTAGCTTCAACCCAGAAAATGTATGGAGCTGAACTGGCCAATGTAGATTTTCAGAAAGCCTCTGAAAATGCAAGAAAGGTGATAAATGAGTGGGTCAAAGGCCAGACTGAAGGTAAGAGAGTGGGCCGAATGTAATCATTCATTACACACTGGCCATTGTTTTCCTCCTCCCACTTTCCCAGCCTGCAGATGATTCCCTGCCCTTTTCCTCTGCCCTCACCCTCTCGCGGGTGGGGCTAACCTCTGCCACTGCCCAGTACTAGACAGCTTTTAAATGTGGAAATTCCTCAAAATGGGAACTTCAACATGCTTTTACTGAAGTAGCTAAGTATTTCCCCCATAAATTCAGAAAACCACATTTTGAAATTACAACTAACATTGAATGTAGGATAAAAAGGATAAAACTTTGATGAAAATGCATCCTGGCCCAGGTGGGGGGATTATGGAAAAGAATCCTAGGTCTGTCACAGCCACAATGACTGGAGGCTCAACAAACCAGAAGTTAGTCCTGCAGTTAGTGCACTGTTGTCGAGGTGACCAACTTCTATAGCTGCAGGCACAGTGAACCAGCACTGACTGCTGATGGGGCTGCAAATCACGCCTGAAGAGAGGCCTGAGGAGAGAAGCAAGGTCTGATCCAGGGGTCCTCAAACTTTTTAAAGTGGGGGCCAGATCACGGTCCCTCAGAGAGCTGGAGGGCCGGACTATATGAACTACTAATTCCTACTGTAACACCTCGGCTGTGCTCACTGCCCAAAAAACCTGGCGGGCCGGATCAGACTCCTCTGCGGGCCGCATGTGGCCCGCGGGCCGTAGTTTGAAGACCCCTGGAACTTTGGCAGCTGTTGATCAGCACTTGCCTCTCTCTTTCTCTCTGGGTCTAGCCAGCAGTCCCACCTCCATTTCTCTCCATGCCTCCACCAGGACTGCTGATTGCCCTGCCTTTCTGACCAGACCCTGTTACAATAATAGGCCCTGAGATGCTGACTGACATAGAAACCAACCAATCTGAACCAAATCTGGGTGAACTCTGAGGAACCGATGACTGCCTAAGAGGCAGAGCTTTTGATGATGACGGGTACAGAAACAGAACAATCAGAACCAAATTGGCTGGCAGAAGAGGGCAGTTGTGGACAAGATTATGCTTGTAGGGGAGGACAGTTGGGGGTAAGATCAGACTGGCAGTTGTGGGGAGTAAGGGGTGATCATGTAGGAAGAGGCAGTTAGGGGTGATCAGGATGGCAGGAAGGGCAGTTGGGGGGCAACAAGACTGGCAAGGGAGTGCAGTTGGGGGCAAGATAAGGCCAGCAGGGGAGGGCCACTGAAGGCAAGATGAGGCTGGCAGGGGAGGGCAGTTCGAGGTGACCAGGGAGACAGGAAGAAGCAGATAAGGATGATCATGCAGGCAGGCAGAAAGATTAAGGGATGATCAGGCAGGAGGGAAGAGATTTAGGGGCAATCAGCCAGGCAGGTAGAGGCAGTTGGGGGTGATCAGACAGGCAGGCAGGTGAGCAGTTAGGAGCCAGAAGTCCCAGATTGTGACAGGGATGTCCAACTGCCGGTTTCAGGCCTAAACTGGCAGTCAGACATCCCCCAATATTTTCCCAATTAGAGAGGGGGCAGGCTTGGCTGTCCCTCTCCATGCATGAATTTTGTGTATGGCGCCACTAGTCCTATATAATAAAAGCCTAATATGCTAAGTGCCAGGTCATCCAGTCAGTTGTCTGTTCAACCAATCAAAGTATAATATGCTAATTATATACTAAGGTTACTCAACCTCTCGCTATGATATGCACTGACTACCAGGGGGGCAGAAGCTCTGACTGGTAGGTTAGCTTGCTGCTGGGGTCTGGCCTTTCAGGTCTGAGTGATATGGGCCAGACATACCCTGTTGCCCTCTTGCGGTCCCTTCCTCGCAGGAAAACCTCCCACATCCCTTCCCAGCCCTAATTGTGCACTGTTGGGGTCCCTTGGCCTAGTCTAATGCCCAAAGAGCCAGTTTTTGGCTCGATCCTGCTCAATGAAGAGGCTGCCCTTGGTGATCAGTGCATTCCCACATGGGGAACACCACATAGCCAGAAGCTGTGCTCATGGCTGGTAAGTACAGCAGCAGTGACAGGAACCTCTCCCACCTCCATGGCAGTGCTAGAGATGTCTGACTGATGACTTAGGCCCATTCCCCATGGAGAGTCAGGGGACCCTAAGCAGCAGTTGGACATCCCCCAAGAGCTCCTGGACTGCGAGAGGGTGCAAGACAGGCTGAGGGACTCTCCCTGCTCCCCTCTGAGTGCCCAAATTTTGTACAATGGGCCTCTAGTCTATAATAATAAAAGCATAATATGCTAATTAGACCAGATGACTTTCTGGACAAAGCCACAGTGGTAGGGATTGAAGCAGCTGTTGTGGACGGAGTGAGCCAGTTGCACGATTTTCATATATATGGCCTCTAGTATTCTCATACTTATGATACAAACTGCTGTGGCCATAAGTATTTTGGCAAATGTCTTGTCTAAGCTGTCAGGGGTGGCTCCATCTCAGCTGTTTCTCCACCACAACTCTCTCTAACCTCATCAAGGTCTGAGACAAGGCACCTACCCAACACCTGCCTCCCATCCAAAGCGTTCCTCATGGCCGCGCTGCGGTCACAGGACTGACTATCCTCACCTTCGGATAAGTACTGCTAAATACTTCTGTGGGAGCAGCTTCCACTTGGAGGCCTCGAAAAAATGACTTATTTAAAAATCATTTTCATTAGAAATATTTTTATGCCTGCCTAAGAATGGCCATTCAACAAGAGGGCTCGTTGTTTCTCATATAATGCAGAGAAGATTGTCCTGTTTTTACAATAGCTTTTAAACCCTTTAGTTGGTTTATTTACAGTTGAAACACACTGGAAGGGCTTCCCTAACTTAATACATTAATGGTAATTAAATAAAAAATATGAATTTGAATTCCATTTCAATGCAGTTCAAAAATGGAATACTGATATGTGATTTTTTAAAAATATTTTCTTCATTTCTTTAGGTAAAATTCCAGAATTGTTGGCTGCAGGCGTGGTTGATAATATGACTAAACTTGTGCTAGTTAATGCCATCTATTTCAAAGGAAACTGGCAGGAGAAATTCAGTCAAAATGCCACAACGGATACACCTTTCAGATTGAATAAGGTGAGATGATGTAATTACAAAATTGCTCTTTGCTCTAATAGGGGTGTCGAACTCAATCAGAGAATGCAGATAATAATGTCAGTGACTTGGTCTTTTTGACTGTTCAGAAAGACACAAAAACAGTGAAAATGATGTATCAGAAGAGCAAATTCCCATTTGGCTACATCAAGGACCTTAAGTGCCGGGTGCTGGAGCTGCCTTACCAGGGCAGGGAGCTCAGCATGGTCATCCTGCTGCCAGATGACATCGAGGACGAGGCCACGGGTCTGAAGAAGGTAACGGCTCCCACGCTCATGCTTCATGTTTTCATCTGACACATGGGTTCTGCCTGTGTGTATGTTGTGTGGTAGTAGCCCATCCAGTTTGCTACTCTGAAGCCTAAGTTTAACTTTTCAGTGACTGTCAGTGAACAGTTGTGGTGAGTGACATCTAAGGATCTATGTTAAATTTAACATGTCAGAGGCAGTTCAAAGGAATTTTTTTAAATGTACTTTAAAATACAGTAAAATTAGAATTGTTTTATTGGAACAAATTTATGAAAATTAAAAATCCCTAAACATTTATAGTAAGTAGTTTCAACTTGTACTATGAGATCCTATTATTACACTGCTCATTCTCATCACAATTCACATAGATTGTGAATTAAATTTCTAAGAGCTACATGGTAGAGAAAACCCATAAGAAATCTAAGCCTATTTTCTCATATGAACTCTGTATGATGTTTCTATTTTAGTTCAGTTAAAGGCGAAGACATTTCTTGTCAGGCTAGGATTAGGCAAAACTGTGAAGATTATGGTTTTTCTTTAGTGTCTCTAACCTGCTGTATGGTTTCTCTGCCTTCTCCCTAACCAAACTATTATCAGGAAGAGGTCCAATATTAATTATTTGCATGTATAAAGCCTGTATTAAAATTAGTATCTTCTTTTTAATTGTATTTTCATATTTATCTCTTTTCTGATTATAAAGAGAAATTCTCCAGCTACATGAAACAGATAATCAGCATCAGTAGAACAAGTGGAATGATGAGTCCATTTATAATAGTCCAATAGTAGTAGTAATATGCTAATGATAATAGCTGACACTCTTGTGGCACTTACAGTGTCACATTAAATCATTTAATGCTCACAGCAATGCTATAAGGTAGGTTCTATTATTAATCTTTTCCCAATTTTTTTTAAATTAATTAATTAATTTATATTTCAAAAAATATATTTTTATTGATTTTAGAAAGGAAGGGAGAGGGATAGAGACATAGAAACATCAATAATGAGAGAAAATCATTGATTGGCTGCCTTCTGCATACCCCACACTGGGGATTGAGCCCACACTCCAGACATGTGCCATTGGCCAGAATCGAACCTCGGACCCTTCACTCTTCAGGCTGATGCTCTAACCGCTGAGCCAAACCTGGGGTCCCTCTCCCAATTTTAGATGAGGCATACTCCCTTTTCTTTTTTTTACCCACAAACTAAATCTATCAGAGATTACTTCAGCACAGTGAGTTCACAGATAACTACAGTAATCAGTAGGGTTCAGAATAGAAGAAATAGAAGAAAACTTTAGAATTTTACCTTGCACCAGTCAACCAGTTAAAGAAATAACAGCCATCATGACCTATCACAGTAATCCAGTGGGGTAGGGGTTAAGGAAAGACTGGGTGGATGGATGGGTGTTTGGGTGAATGGATGAGTAGTTGAAGCTTCTGATGTCCGAAGTCCCTATTACTTGGGCCCTTGATGACTTGGAACACAGCTCTGTTCTATTATCACCAATTGCTGAAAAGATGAAATCCTCCAAATGAAATCTATTTTGGTACAAAAAATGAAAGAAATAAATTAGCAACTGATAACATGAGTCCATTCATGTAAATACTGTGTATTACCTTGCTTATGTGAAGTAGTTCTCACCTCTTCTTTTGCCCATTCTCATTTCAGATTGAAGAACAGTTGACCTTGGAAAAACTGCAGGAGTGGACCAAACCTGAGAATCTGAGTTCCATCGAAGTCAACGTCCACCTGCCCAAGTTCAAGCTGGAAGAGAACTACAACCTCAACTCTCACCTGGCCAGCCTGGGTATAGAGGATCTCTTTACTAGCAGGGCTGATCTGTCTGGCATGTCAAGAGTACTGGAAATCTTTTTATATCACAAATTGTCCACAAGTCTTTTGTGGAAGTAAATGAGGAGGGTACAGAAGCAGCAGCTGCCACAGGAATTGCCACCTTCTGCATGCTTATGCCAGAGGAAAATTTTGTGGCGGACCATCCATTCATTTTTTTCATTCGACACAATCCCTCAACTAACATCCTGTTCTTAGGCAGACTTTCTTCCCCATAGAGACTGTGGAAATCCGAGGCCAAGCTCAAAGCTTTATCAATGGCCCTTTCAATGGTGATAGTTTTCATATATCTTCTGCAACAAATCTACCACCCCAAACAAGTCTCTAACTTCCTCTGTAATGTCAGGTCTGTTGGCTATTTATACGCATTAACTTTGGCATAGATATCTATTCTCCTTTTTTATATTGAAAAATTTATTGATTGCTTTTGAATGCACCAAGCAGATATGTAGATTCTTGACAGTGTAGTAAACTAAGAAACTGCTGTACTCTCTTGAAAGCCATGAGAAAAATTAAATACTATAATTTATTTCATAGATATACTTCTGGAAGCTATGGTAGAGAGACATTCATTGTTGAAGGGAGGCTTAAAAACAGACATTCAATTGAAATATAGGAAAGCAGCCCAATTAAGGGTTGGATTATGAAGATAAATTTGCCTTGGCCAGTGTTTCTGACCCTTTGTTCTATAGGATTAGTATTATATTATAGGCCCTCTGATTTCAAACTAGTAAGGAGCTTATTTTCCTTTATCTACATGGTTTGTAGTTTGTGTGGGATCACAAGGAGTGAAGAAGTGTCTTATCTTAAAAGATGCCATGAAACCATAAAAAGGGAAGTGTAGTAAGAGTGTACTTAAGGAAGAGGAGTGCAAAGAACACACTGTTACCAGCTTCTTGTGTGTTTTCTGATAAGAGCTCCTGATTTTAATCATATACGGTAGTTTAGACTGTGATAGCAATGGGATGGCTTTATGCAATGCGGGATGGGGAGGGGCTCTGTGATCATTATAAACTTAGTCAAATGCACTCCTTGGAATGGGGCTTCAAATGCTGCATTTTCTTGCTCCCGTGAACTGGTGGGCTGGCTAATAATGCTTTCAAAGATTTTGCTAGCCAAACTGATCTCAGTCCTCTTCTTGTTTCCATCTGATCTCAGTAAAGACATGACTAATGAGGTTCTTGGACTGACAATATTCACATCCAAGATGATAGTCAGTGACTTCATGAAAGAAAAAAAAAGATTTTAGCAAATCTGTTGACAAGCTTTTCTTTCTCTTTTTCTTAAAATACAGTACTGCCTCCTGCAATATTCAAGGTTCTCTTAGCTATAGGAAAAACAAGAAAAGCAAGTCACTGCATTCTATAATTCTTCTCTTTGGGCTCTTATGATAAAATCTACTCAATCATTTAGAGTAAATTGTGCTAGTCAGATAGAAACTGAACTGTCTGGTCACATGTAACTCTGCTCAAATCATTCTCTTTATATATGAGGGAACAGGCTCGTGTAATATAAATAAATTATTGAATGTTAAAACAACTAATAAATTTCAGAGCAGAAACTAGAATTCAATAAATATTTGATGTGGAGAACATCTAATTTTTTACTGTAATGGTGAATTAGGTAACTGAGACCTTGTAACACAACCAAAAAAACAAACCAAGCAAGCCTGAGCCCAAAGGCAAGGGAGCTGCCATGATTATGAAGTACTCAGCAATCTGGGGTAAATTGGTGACTATAGAAACGGGTACTTTTACTCCAGGGGCATTTTCCAATCCAACAGGGGTAAAAAGGCATGAAGCAGGAACTTTGATGATGTTTAAGGCCAGGCAGGCAAAATTTTGGCCTGTCAAGTATGGGGACCCCATTGTGACCCCGTGCTTTCATTTGGCAACATAAGAACTACACTCTAGGTTTATGATTAAAGCAGCTTAGTATGTAGCCCTCATGTAAGTCCTTGGACAGTCCCCCAAATTCCAGTCTGTTGCATTGGATTACATCTATTCTGGTTTGCTACTATCCAGAGTCATATGGAAGAAGCAAACAAAAATCATCCCTAGGGAAGATGGTCTATAAACCTCAAATTCCATATAATATAAGTCTAATATGCAAATTGTCCCCTTGGGTGGTGGTTCCACCAGCAGTTCTCCTGGGAGACCAGGAGTTTGACCGCTAGCTGAGGTGCACTGACCACGAGGGGGCAGCACAGAACATGATGGGCATCAGCCATGTGGCACTGGTAACAGACAGCAGTTTGAGGCACTGCTGCTCTGATGGGCCCCTAGGAAAGGAGAGCAGGACCACTGCAAGATGGGGAAGCAGGTGAGTGGCAGGCACCAGGCCAAGGCAGGTGTGACCAGCTGAAGTTGAGGGGAGTGGAGCCTCTGCCTGGTTTCCAGGTGCTGAGGGAGAAAGGGCAAATAGCAATATTTCTTGCCCTAACTGGTTTGGCTCAGTGGATAGAGCTTTGGTCTATGGACTGAAGGGTCCCAGGTTCAATTCTGGTCAGGAACATGTACCTTGGTTGTGGACACATCCCCAGTAGGGGTTGTGCGGGAAGGAACTTATTGATGTTTCTTTCTCTCTCATCAATGTTTCTAACTCACTCTCTCTATCCCTTCCTTTCTGTAAAAAAATCAATAAAATATATTTTTAAAAATTTATTCTAATTATTTCCCTTCCAATGTGCACGAATCTGTTCACTGGGCCACTAATCATTTTTATAATCAGCTTTTTAAAATACACTATTTAGCATATAGTCAAAGATAACTGGGATGGGAGAGGAGCTATGACAACATGAATAAAAATCAGCATGAAAAAACATAATGCAAACAGAAGTACAGGGGCTCATTACACACAAATTATAAAACAACACTTTTATCAAGTTGATAAAAACCAAGGTTAAGCATTTCAGCAGATAGCTAAAAATTTAAAAGATACCGCATATTTGAATAAAAATGAAATAGCGTCCAGCCAGGTAAGGGTTAGTGCTTGAGCGTTGCCCTATGAATTAGGAGGTCACGGTTCGATTTCCAGTCAGGACACATGCTTGGGTTATGGGCTGGACCCTCAGTTGGGGGTGTTCAGAAGGCAGCCAATAAATTATTCTCTCTTATTGATGTTTCTATTTATCTCTCCTCTATTTCTGAAATTAATTTAAAATATTTTTTAAAATAGAACAAAAAAAAATAGAAAACCTAGAACTCAAAAATAGAACACATGAAAAACTGACTAGATAAATTTATCAACAAATTAAACAGAAAAAAAGTGAATTGTCGGACCAGAAAAAATTACCCATAATTTCTTCTAGAAAGACAACTATAATGAGTAAAGCCTACAAGGACAAAAGAATGGAAAAGATGAAAGGAAGGATAGGAATGGTGAAAATGTTTAATAGAAAAAGATAAGGCAAGAGACAATATGGTGCAGAATAATATTTAATGATCTAACATTCAAAATGTGTATTCTAAAACTTATATGTAAAAACATCAATTCACAGATTTTAGAAATCCTATTCACCCCCCACACAGGATACTACAAAGAAATCCATCTCTACTCACATCCCAGTGAAACTGCAGAAAACCAACGAGATGTTCATGGGGGAAATAAAAAAGGTCAAGGAAAAAGACAAGTACCCTCAGAGGAGCCACAGTTAGAAGGACAATACATAAATCAACTGAAATGATAAGGACCAGAGATTATAGACTGATTTAACATGCTGATTTAACCACCCCAAACTTCTACCAATCCAGAATTATTCCATATCCTAGAAAAATAGTCCTTATGATATATTCAGACAAACAAAATTTGAGAGACTTAAAAATATTCTAGAGAATATTATTTATGCAAAAGGAACATAATAGCTGTAACAAAAGAACAAGAGCAAGAAAAAATTTAAATATAAATTTAAATAAATATTGACCATATATATTACTATATAAAACAATATAATAATGTGTGCAGAATTTCAAACATACAGAAAATTAAAATAAAGGATACCATAGATGATGGGGAAGAAAAATAGAGGTAACATTTCTGGAGTCCTTGCATTTTCTGAAAGAGAATAAAAGTACAATTACCATCACTAGCTGCATAATGACATTTTGATCAACAAGAGTGCATCTACCATGATGATCCCACAAGATCATAATGGACCTGAAAATTTCCTATTGCCTGGTGATGTTGTAGCCACCATAACACTATAGAGCAAGGCATTACTTATGTGTTTGTGGTGACGCTGGTGTAAGCAAACCTACTGTACTGCCAGCCATAGGAAAGTATAGCATATATAATTATGCATAGTGCATGGTATTTGATAATGATACAAATGTAATTATTATTATATAACTTTTATCATTATTTTAGACTGGGTAATTTTTCTATTTATGAAAGAGCAATGTGCTATAAAACAGTATGGAATGTTATAATGGCAGCAGCCTCATACGTTTTGTGTTTATTGTGCTTCTTGATGGAATCATTTTCTCTTGTGCTGGACCTAATCTCATGCTGTTTTTTACAGTAACATGCTATACATAGTTTTTGCCTAGAAACAAGAGGCTACACCACATTGCCCAGGTCTAGAGTAGACTGTACTGTCTAGGTTTGTGTAAGGGCACTTTATGATGTTTGCACCACCACAAACTTGCCTAACAATGTGTTTTTTAAAATATATGCCAAAGGTAGGTGGTACATATCTATACAATTATATTATATTTTTTATAAGTCAAGGATGTATTCCGTACTGTCTAAGATAACCAAAAGAAGAACAGTGAAAGGGTTTATAACTTCCATAATAAACCAAAGAGAAAAAACACACAAAATTACACAATCAATACAAAAAGGGGACAGAAAAAAAGATACTCAGAACAGGAATGACAAATAGCAAAATATCGCATTAAAGCCCAAATATTTAAGTAATTATTTAAATGTGAAATGACTAGCCTTAGCTGGTTTGGCTCGGTGGATAGAGTGTTAGCCTGTGGACTGAAAGGTGCCAGGTTTGGTTCTGGTCAAGGGCACTTGCCTAGGTTGTAGGCTTGATCCCCAGTACGGGGCATGCAGAGGCAGCTGATGAATGATTCTCTCATCATAGGTGTTTCTGTCTCTCACTCTTCCTCTTCCTTCCTCTCTGAAATGAATAAAGATATATTAAAAAAAAAAGAAAAAAAAAAAAGAGGAGAAACCAAGATGGTGGTATAGGGTAGACACCCGAATGCAGCCTACCACAACAAATTTGAATTTAGAACCGAAAAACAGGGGAGGCATTGCCCTGAAGAGCCAGACGGCTGGCTGAGAGGAAGCTCTACCATCTGGGAAGGAGAGAGAAGGCACGCTGAACCTCAGGAACTGTGAAGGTACGGAGAACTGTGTGCGCAAAAAGGCGCTGGCTTAATCCCGGTGCGGAGAGGAAGGGCCGGACCGAGATTGCTGCTGGCTTACTCCCTGCACGCAGAGAGGGCGGGCCGGGCTGAGTTCGCTACTGGCTTACTCCTGGCGCGGAGAGGGCGAACAGCTAACGCGGCTGGCTTTCTTGTCCGAGAGGAAAACAGAATCACCCTATTGCTCTGATAAACGGCCCCAGACAGGGAAAGGCCAGACTGTCAGGCAGTGGGCAGAGATCTCTTGGAGGTGTGTGAAGCCAGAGGCCATTACTGCGGGACTTGGGGAGGAATCGAAGGGAAAACAAAGTTTGTCTGCACCAACCCGAGACTCCGCCCTACCTGTGGCTGAGCACAGAAGCTCTCCCAGAGGC